AGAATAATTTTTAAGATGAAAAAATTAGATGCATAAATTATTTTTGAACTAATTTTTTGTCACTTATTCAGCATCAAATCTGTATATATCACAACAGTGCCGTATGTCGAACTATAATTTTTTTTTAAAAAAAAAGAAATGAAATATCAAATAAAATGAAAAAGAATTTATTAGATAGGTAAGGCTGATCAAAGTATCAATGGAAATTATCAGATAACATCTTAATACATTATTCTCGATAAAAAAAAAACTAAAGAGCTAAGATTGAAAATGATCTGTAATTAATTTTTTTTACCTCATTTGTTTTACCTCATGATGTATTAATTTTTACCTCAATATTATACTAAAAATCGGAATACCATTATTAATTTAAATTAATTGAAATGCAACAAAATATGAACTCTAATCATCTTATCATTTCGTAAGAATATTTTTAAATAATTTTCGCAAATTTACGATGCATACCTGTATTAAGTGTTGGAACTTTGATCAACCTTTATACTTGCACATCGGGTATGTCCAAATGCTCCCATACTTTCTTGTGTTTGTAGTGCGGGTAGTACTCTCATGGTATTTCGAATGGAATAAAAAACGTCTTGTCGCGAATTATAATTTCGTGAAAACTTCTAACCAATTTCATAATATCATAAATCATTTCTCCTTTTAAATTGTAAAAATCTTACGGTTTCATAAATAATCTCTTCTTTGTAAACATTTCCAATTCTTCACACATATATGATTTTTATCTTAGAGACGCCCAATCCTCACTCATATCAATTCTAGTAAACAAAAGATTTATTGTTGTCATTATTGTTATAACCTCATAACCAATCTAAATTTCCTCCGATTTTATAAAGTTTATTTCTACTGCTCGGGTTATTGCTAATACGTTTTATAAAAATAAAGATTTATTAATCTCACTACTGTATCACAAATATTCGAGTATCTGAAGACAAACCTCTCACGATACGTCTCTTGAATTCGAAAATTTTATGAATATTCATTAATGGCTATATTGTTAAAATTTAGAAGAAATATTTTACGAACTTTAAATGTCTGTTAGTATTGAAAACGGAATTTTGTTTAAAAGTGGAAATAGAAATAAAACAAGAAACTGGAAGAGGAAAAGGAAGATCCGGAAGAGAAAAAGATTAAATGCATATAAATGTTGCGGTTTTCTAGCATATGGTTTTGTTGGTGGAATTTTTTCATCCTTCAGAATATCGGCCAATTTTTTTTCATCCGGTAGCATCTCATATGGTTCTGGTGGTGGTCTAGGCAGAAAAAAAATATATAAATTAGAAATTAGCTTTCATCTTAATCTCCTCTTTGTAAACACTCCAAATTTTTCACACATGTGATTTTTATCTTAGACACCCCCAATCCTCAATCATATAAATTCAATCCTAAAAAATTTCATTAGTTCCCGAAACGGTATCGAAGACAGAGAAAATGGATTATAATCAAGCTTGTCAACTTCTGCAATGAGAAGGAATCTATTTTCCCTCTTATTATCGTCAAACAGTTCATTTGTGATAGAAAGATTAGAAGGATTTTAGATCTGTAACTATAGTTCCACAATGGAAAAGAAAAGTTCGAGTAATTTAGGAATCAAGTAATGATATTTCATAATCACCAGATACGTTTAAAAGAGCGAAGCACTAAGAAAAGTCATGACTCAGTGGTTATTTTAATTTGTTTACAAGACCGTTTTGTGCCTTCTGCCAATCTTGACCATTACTAAAATTTGGAAGGTGCTGAGTGGATGAGGAATTGAATCATTTGAATAATATAAGAGGAATTTCGTAAATAGTAAAAAGTATGATACTAAGGTTTTATTGGAGAAAGCAGAAATATGAGCGTCAACTTTGAAAGGGCCATAAGCTTTAATGATCTTTAGAATATATATGTCGCGAATTATAATTTCGCAAAAACTTCTATCTAAAAATAATCCCATAATATTTTAAATTATCTCTCCTTAAACCTAGTTTTTTTGGTTTATTACACATGTAACCTTACATCATAATTCTCAATTCTTTCAATTCTCATAACATCTCCGATTCTTTACATGATTTTTATCTTAGACACGCCCAATCACCACTCATATAAAATTCAATCCTAAAAAATTACAATTATTATGGTCTTTAAGGTCGACTACTACTCGGTTAAACAATTTTAATTCCTGCGGTCTTCTTTTATAAATTTCTTCTCTTTTTATTGCTCGGTTTATTAATATTACGTTTTCAAAAAATAAAGGTTTATTAATCTTCCTACTGTATTGCAACTATTCGAATATCAACCAGACAACCTTTCACGACAAAATTTATTGGTATGTAACACAAAACAACACGTCAAGCCATATTATTGCGAGCTTTCAACTGGCAAAGGAAGGTTAGTCAATCTTCTTAAAGAAATAAATCAACTGGAACTCAAATCTCCAGAAGCAAATATGACAATAGAAGAAAAAGAAGATTTTTATTAATAAGAAAAAGAATGTTAGAAGAAAACTTCGAAGAATCCAATTATGTAACTATGCTTGAATTTATCAACAATAAATGGTTCACATATACTCAACAAATCGTCACAATGAAAAGAAGAGAAGAGGAAGAAAAATACAAAATAGTAACAAAAGTGACCAAGGAATATTTCAATTATTGCACGAAGGAAAGGAAGCGGTAATAACACTAACAATGCACAAGGATGAAGCCGACCAAAACTTAACGCGACTCTCAAAGGAGTTGACTAGCAAACAAGCAAAAGAAGAGATAAAATTTATTCCTCATTTATCGCTCCCTACTTTCGATGGAGACCCTAGACAATGGCGACAATTTTGGAGCAGTTTTAACGCAGCAGTCCACACACAAGCGATTCCAGAAATACAAAAATTGAATTACTTGTACTCATGTCTTAAAGGAAAGGCTCTACAAGCAATATCTGGATATGATATAGCTCCAGAAAATTATGAAGTCATCAGAAAACTGCTCAATGGAAAATATGGCGATCACTCAATAGTAACAACATTAGTATACAACGAACTCCAATCAATTGAACGAAATGAAAGAGAATAGATTGGAACAATTGAAAATATAGAACGAGTATTACGCCAATTAGAAGCTTTAGGAGAAAGCCTCGAACACTCAAATATCAAAATTTTGATCGAGAGCAAGTTGTCATTATGGATATTAAATAAAATATACAAACATAAAAAGAAAGACATGCCTTGGTCAATTCTCAAACTAAGAAACTTTTTAACAAGTTTAGTTAATGTGAATGAGCAGATTAGAAACTGTCAACATTCACTCACTCAACTCAATATTAAATCTACAACTACCAAACCGGAACAAAAACAACGATACAATCCCGGAGGAACTTCAGCATTGTCGACAATAAAAGATAATCAAAATACTTCGAAAATTACAACAACGAAAAGACGACCATGTGTATTCTGCAATCAAGATCATTAGAACAGCGATTGCGTGAACTACACGACTCTCAATGCTCGGCTTAGTCGTCTCAAAGTGTTGAAGAAATGTACTATTTGTCTTAGTGACAGTCACAAAGGACAGAATTGCAATGTACAAAAATAATGTTTTTATTGCAGAGCCTTACATAATAGTGCTTTATGTGATAAAAGCAATTCACTTTCTTTGAACAATAAAATATATCAAAGAAATGGAGAGCAAGAAAAATTCGTACCTTCGAAAGAAAAGGAAGGACTACTCTTTATAACTCGACATTTTAGCCGATCCAAAGAGAAAAAGATACTTTACTTTCATGCAAGGAGATAAAGGTCTTCAATCCATTACACTACGTCAACTACAATAGAATGCTTTGGAATTATTTAACATCGGATTACAACTCTCCTTCATTTCCAAAAAATTATCACGTCAATTAAGGTTAACCGAAACAGAAACTTAAATTATGAGAATATCGCCATTTGGTATGAAGGAACCGAAATCATGTCCCACTGCTCGCATACAACTAAAAGTGCTAACTACAGGAAGCGAAATCATACCATTACAAGCAAATATAATTGATTATCTAACGAACGAACTGCAGGTAGTAGAGACATCGAATGAAGTTCAAATTCAAAATTTAACAAATCATTGGAAAAAATCTGACGTATTGATTGGAGCAGGTTATTTTTTCAAATTTATTAGTCTACGAGAAATCATGGAATTAAAATTAGGGCATATGTTGATTTAATCAAAAGTTGGTCCTATGATTGCTGGAAGTGGAGATATTAAAAAACTTTGTAAGAACGAATTATATCCTAAGGAACTAGTATATTCTGCAAACGCCAATATTAATTCAGAGTTAGAAAATTTTTGAAAGTTAGAGACGATTGGTATTCAAGAATCATCTCAAGATTATGATGATGATCAAGCTTCAAAGCATTTCAAACGGACCATCATCAAGCAAGGTGGAAGATACCAGATTTGTTGGCCATGGAAAGACTCCAAACAAAAATTAAGCAATAATTATGGATTATGCCTGGGACGATTGAAGAATTTGATCAACCGCCTACAACATAATTCAAATCTCCATTCATATCATCAAATACTTATGGATCAACTAAATTCAGCTAAAATTGAAGAAGTACCTCCAAAGGATGAGGTAGGCGTTATTCATTACTTACCACATCATGAAGTATTAACTCCTAGTAAATCAACAACTAAATTAAGAATAGTATATGATGCCTCAGCACATCACAAAGGTTTTAAAAGCTTAAATGAAGTATAATATCGAGGTCCAGCAATGTTACCGGATTTAGTTGGAGTAATATTACGTTTCCGAATGATGAAAATAGTAATGACTGCTAATATCGAAAAGGCATTTTTACAACTAGAACTACAAAATGAGGAAAGAAATTGCCTAATGTAAGGAACAAGTTTGAACGTCAAAAAATATAACCTAGATTTTATGTATTGCATCAGTGATTTTTCAAATATATCTATCCAAAATTTTCCGGATTCATTACAACGGGTGCACTAACATTCATGTCAAAGTATCTTGAACGACAGTTTAGCGTTGCACCAAGCAAAGCAGATATGTTGATTAGTTCAGTTCTAATTTATAAAGATTTGAAATTTCAGCTGATTCTTTTAGTTCAAATCTAAAAGTTTTAAAAAAAAGAAAAAACATTACTTTCAGATTGTATAATGATTCCAATGGCTGGAATAGGTACAATGTTCAGTGGTTTCATCATTCAACGATTTCGTTTAGGTTGTGTTAAAACTTTAAAATTTTGCATAGCATTACTAATGTGTACGCTTATCTTATCACCAATGTATCTTGTTTATTGTGATCACGATCCACTTGCTGGAATTGAAGAGCATTATGAAATGGACGTGTAAGTTTCTGTTTCGAAATTTTCTTTCTAATTGAGATCCGTCGATATTCTGATTTTTCTGATCAGTTTTTACAATGTATTTAAGTCATTGATGTTGACATAAAACTTTAATTACATTTTTGAAAACTTTTTGAAATTTCGATTTAAATTTTTTTCCATCATAAATTTTCAGCATCATTCTGCAGTTTTTTCATCATTTATTTAATCTGTTTTGCAGCGCTTCAAATTCAGATCAGAATAATAATGCTACAGAAATACTACCATTTCTAAAATCCACCTGCAGCCGTCATTGTGACTGTGTTCCAAGTGAATATTATCCAGTATCTACTGAATTTTATAATGAAAAGTAAACTTCTTTCTATTCACCATGTTTCGCCGGTTGTCAGCAAAATTATGAACCGCTCAGAAATGTTGTTCATAAAATTTTGTTTGTTTTATAACTGAAAATGCAATAGGATTCAATGACAAAGATTTTCAGTCTTCTTTATTATGAAAACCAAGGACTAAATCACTTCTGTAAAGTAGAATAACAGTTATTGCTTCAAACAGACAAAATTCTAAAGCAAATTTCTTTCAAGATTTAATTTTGGTGTTGATTTTAGATGTATTTCAATTGTTCATGTGTGCCTGAAAGTTCTAGATTTGGATGTCGGACTGTCAAGAATGGATTGTCAAAGTGCAGAGTGAATCAAAGTGCAGAGGACTCTTTGCATTTCTTACTCTATTTGCTCCATTCTGTTTTTTTTTGCTTTTGCTGTTAGAGTTCCATTAATTTCAGTGGTATTAAGGTATTGTTAGTTTAAAAATTTTCAATTTAAAACTAAATTAGAAATTTTGAAAGATATCCCGAAACTTATTTCAGTTTTCTTAATTCATTAGAAATTAATAGTTAGTTTAAAAATTGGTAAGCAGTTTAAATAACTTTTTTCACCAACTGCATATTATGTACATTACAATGTATAAAAATTCCAGAATAAACTAATTCTTTTTAGAACAGTTGATTATGCTGAGCGTTCATTTGCGCTTGGAATTCAGTGGATTTGGTGAGAGTTATTGGCACCATTCCTGCACCAGTTCTTTTTGGATGGATGTTTGATGTGTCGTGCATTCGTTACAATTTAGATGTTTGCTCCGGAAAAGTACGCTACTCATATTCCTGTGTTATGTATGTGTGTCTTTTTTTTTTTAATTTTGCATAAATTTGGTTTTTTACTTGCTCAATTTTCAGCAAGGAAGCTGCATGCTATATCAGAATAAACTTTTGGCCGATCTTTTTCTTACTTTCAGAGTGATTGGTCAGGCAAGTTTTCTTTACGGAATAATTTTGATTTGAACTTGAACAGCGTTACAGTAACACAATTAATGGACTATATATTTCGAATTTATAGCGGATTTTATTTTCCGATATGTATTTTAATGTAATAAAAGCACTTTTAAAATTGAAATTTACAGAAATACATATATATATATATATGTATATTTCAGACAATTGCCATGGTTTCTAATTTGTACATTATTATTTTTCTCATCACAAATGCGTGACGATCCATTGCCAACAGAAGCGGTCATTGAGAATTCAAAATTGAAGTTAATGAAGAAGCAGAATTCAATGTGTTGAAACAGCACCAGAAATAGGCAATGGTGAAATGAAATAAAAATTCATCATGCACCTTAAAGCAGATTGTATTTGTAAATTTCAATAATGCATCTATTTAAGGGCGTCATTTTTTTAAGCGTCTAAACATCTATTTCATCCTATTTAAGGATGAAATAATAATTTTAATAATTTAGAACGATTACTTGTTGTAACTTTATAAAATTGCAGAGAAAGGGATATAAATTTATTTTTTATAACTCACTTAAGAAGTTATTTTTTTTTAAGAAGTACGAATGTATATTAAATAGGATGATAATGCTAATAATTCCTTTCAAAATTAAATGATTTTTGAAAGGAATTAATATAAATACGACTTATTAAAAAAGATTCATAAGAAAAATCTTGATGCAGTACTGATTCACTTGGTTAGACTTTTAATTTAGTTATTATGGCATTAGTAACTTTCTATGTCTTTTCTTTCAACATCTGTATCTCCCTTAGAGAATCTCACTATGATTTTATATCTTCATTTTTCATCATCTTAATTTATTGCTTATATATTTTTTGCTGCTTGTATATCTTATAGTATATAAATCATCATCTTTCCTTCCACTTCTTTCTTAGTTTATTATTCATTCGTAGTGGATATATTATTAAATCTCTGGATTGCAACTGAATACGAGATCTTTTTCATTTTCTTGTCTTTCTATTCAAAATGTAATTTTCTCTTTGCACAAATTAGTGTTAACTGTTTCTTTTTTTTTACAAAAAATTTTATATGCTCGAACAAATTTTTTTTTCCTATGGTTTTATTTTACATATTGATTATTGTTAGCTCAATATTTAAAACTTTTCTTAATTCTAAAAATCGAAAGAACATATATAAGTGATTTATTGGCTATTCATTGTTAACTGCGCGGTGTTTCAAAATGCTTATGCTACTTGTCCACTGTATATGTTATTTTTAGTTAGGAACGATGAAGTTCTAAGCTTATTTCTTAAAATAAGTTTTTGTAAGTTTTGTTTCCTTTAATTAATTATTTTTTCTTAAAAAGCTTCAAAAATTTTTTTTCGAAAATGGTACGTTATTTGCAGTTCATTTATTTATTCATTCATTTTTGTATCGCTCCCTCTCCCTCCCTCTCTGTGTGTATATGTATATGTAGACATCGTAACTAAATTAAATGCTTTCACAAATACGAACTATTCGATTTGCAAATTATTAGGACTTCTTTTTTTTGCATTACATTGAAGTGTTGCATATTAATAAATCGATTTCGAAATAATATTTTAAAAATTTTAGTTTCAATTTTTTGAAGTAACTTTTTTGTTAGATTTAAAATTTCTACAAAGTGATTTAATATCTTCAATAGTATGCCCGCAAAATCACGAAGTGAAATCAATGAATAGAAATTCTAATGATTGTTCCAATTAAATAAATTATTAGTGGTTTATATTACTATTTACTCTCGATCAGTGTTATATATTATTAATATTATAACATAACATTTGATTTGATTACATTATAGCAGTGTAAAGTATGTGCCTATATTTTTGAAATTTTTATTTCTAGTCGAAGTGAAACAATGCATTTATAAAGTGTAGCAAGGTTAGCTATAACTTCATTGTTTTCTTTAGTCAAAGCTTTACCGGTTATATTTAATTGTTAGTATTATTTACTTAAAGACCTTTGCTAACAGCTACATGTCAAAAGAAGCATTATAAGTAACTATCTCTATTAATCTCGCTTCACATTATTCAATATTAACCTGAATTTGCTAGTGTTACTTCCTAAGGATTGCTTAACATTTACTTATTTGAATTTCGCTTGGCCTAATCATTTATTCTTATCAATTTTTTGCACGAATATACCAATCTTAAATTGTTCATTTATTTTTGCTAATCATGCAAATTTGCTTCAATGAGTAGTTCCATGGATGATCAGCAGCTCTCACCGATGCAATCAACGTCAGAATTTGGTGAATCAAAGAAAGAATTAAGACAAAAATTGGAATGTTGTGTCGACAATGCATTACTGCATCTTAGCTATCACGGGTATATTATACTTTGTTTAAATGTTATCAGTTTAAAAAAAAAGAAAAATTTATATGTTGCTTACATAGACAACATTTTTAGACATGACATCTATATTCTTTCATTTGAAATTATGAAAACAGTCCGAAATAGCTATTCCTGCTGTACAAGTTTTTTTCACATTTATAGTAATTTTTCTCAAGCGATTACTTTTTTGTTCTTTTAAGTTTAGTAAAAAGTCAATGTAAAAATAGAATTTAGGAAAAAGAAGAAACGAATCGTAACCTTTCATCAGATTCTTACAATTTGACACTATCTAATTACAAAAGTGTTTTTGAGAAATTGGAGCCACATGTAAGCCAATATGATGATATCTCATATAATCTAAACAAAAAGATTGAACGTGAAGGTATTTGCCATTTATCAGAAATTAATTTTTTACCAGCGAAAAATTTAATATTCGTGATAATCTTGTATACATTGCTAATATCATCAAAATTAAAAGTGCTAGAAATTTTTTTGTGTATTGATAAGGTAGATTAAGTTTGTGATAATACATAAAGGTGGAGAAATTAAATTTTTCACTAAAACATGTAAATAATGAGATAGTCTTTCTTTTTGGTTTTAGCTTCTCAAACATTTTCAGAAAAAAAAACAAAAAACAAAACAAAAAAGAGGCTCATGAAGTTATTAAGAATAGATTTGAAAAGATATATAAAAATCTGAAATTTATATACATCTATCATTTATTTTTTTTTTGTCATATTTTCCAAAAAATATCGTTTTGTAGCATTGAATGTTCCAATACGTGCATGGAATTTTCCTCTACGCTTACTTCTAAATCCAGTAAACATATTTCTGAAATTGAAGACGTGAGACTATTGTATATTCTTATTAAAGAAGGATTTTACCACTTTTTCTGCCTTTTTAAATTCTGCAAAAAATTCTCAAAATGTTTAATTTTATCCAAAAATCCAATTTTTTTTTCAATTCCAAAACTTTTTTAAGTTTTCACATTCTTAACGTAATGTCAATTTTGAATTTTAATTAAAGAAATTTTGCATTTTGAAAAGAGATCATAGTACAGTCTGTCAACGAATGACATGTCTTCTAGACAACAAACCTTTTTGTACAATTTTATTAATAAATATTAATAAATGTACAATTTTATTAGTACATTATTGCAGCATACTGGACGAAGGGTAGAACGTCTATATTTGTCGAAGATCTTAGATGTACCATCATCCTTTGGTCAAGTGGACAAGTTGACCACTTCAAAGAAAAGCTGTGATGAATATGAAATGATGCTACCGTAAACTTTTCATGAATCATTCCAGCATCCATAACTGTCCTTGTTAATTCTATTCTCACTCATATGTCTGTCATCTCAATTCATATTGCAGAACCACTGTTACACCTCGACTATTGTCCAAAGAACAAGCGTTTTGGACAGCAGAACACCTGGTTCCATGGAATTACCACCATCGGTAGAAGCTTACATTTGAAGTATTAACTGCAAAGCAAGCAGAGGAATATGTTATGAAGCCTGCTTCATCCAAACTATACCATATGGTCATTCTCTAATAATTACGTTGTGAGTAATTAAGCTCTCACTAATTAGACTAATTTATTTATGTATAATTTCTTTCAGATGCCAAAAGTGGAATCATTAAACAATGTATTGCCATCACTTAGTCTTTATATTATTTATCGCAGTGATTCTGGCATCGTATAGTTCGCTTTATATTACCTTCATATATGGGCAAATTATGCTGCTTTTGAAAGATTTTAGAAATCTCTCTGAACAATAATGGATATAAATATTTGAAATAATAATGCAACCAGAAACACCATATCTAGAAGATTCGTTCTAAACTTATTTATACATAGAGAACAGTATTTATTTACCTAAAGATTCCTTACAAAGTTTTACATAATGCTTAGTTCGAGTAACTAAAAGTTCTTCTAGTCATTATCCAATCAAACAACAAAGCAACATGCGGATTACTCGAAGGCAAGATCAAGACTTGAAATGCTAAATAATCTTCAAGTTAGTTGTTTCCAGTGAAAAATCTTGAAAATATAAATTCTTTATCAACTTTATAAAATAAAAAAAGTATGTTAGTTTAGGCTGATAATTTTGAAAGAAGTTTAAAACGATAAAAAATACAAAGGTTGTAAGGAACTAAAATTTTCATCTATTTAATATAATTGTCACTTGAAGCTTCGCATCTTTTTCAGTCTTTTGAAAAAAGTTTAATTCATTTATTGATCAGTGCTACATCAAATTTATTTTTCTAATTGTAAAATCTCGAAGTTACTTAAGGTCCAATGGCACCATGGTTTTTCACACTGGATGCATTAGTCAACTATTACAATGTTTATATCTACTTGTATGAAGTGAATGGCGAATGTGTTACAGATATATTTCCAGTTAATGGAATCCAGAATATCAATAAATCATATCAGTACATATCATCAATGTCACCTGATAATACTCGAAAAGCTTTGATATACATTCTGTAAATCACTGTTTCAAATTCATTAGCAAAATTGTAGATCAAAATTTACATAACAATGATTGAAATAAATCTTTTGCAAGCTTTGATTAAAATTATCTAATTAATAATAATGTTGTTAATATCATTAAATTCACGAGCAACAATAATTTTATTTGCCTCAACAAACCATCAAGGATCGTTTTTGAAATTTCACTATTAAAACTTCCATACATTAACCCATCTTTTTATTATATAGCGCCATATTATTGATTAGGCTAAATAGAATTTCATACTTCTAATAGTTTTCCTGTTAACAAAGAAGGGTTGTCAGCGATATAAGCGGAGCAATTTTTTACTATTTATAAATGTTAAATTTGTACCCTATTTCAAAACGAATCCCAACAAGAACTATTAAAGTCAGGAAACACCTCCGATCCTTGCTTCTTCGGGAATTACGATATCTCTGCTCTCATTTTCTTGAATTGTTTCAATTAATATACTGAAAGCCATGGTGCATGGATAGAAAAAAATGAAGCGTAAAACCTTTCACTTGAAAGACGCAGACCTGGTGAAGCTGGATCTTTACTTTTGCCAGAACCAAATCAAAACACAACTTTAAAGTGACTCCTACCACTAACAGTAGTTCTCTCTTCTGACCAGTTTTTAAACCGAGACCTTCTCACTTATTTCAGAAGATAAAGTGTCACCAATAAGCAGTGAAATGTCTGCGGTTAGCATTAAAATTTATGCTCCCTCTTAACCCCTATGCACACAACTAACTCGAAAGAAGTTAGCCAGAGAACCAATAAAAGTTTCACTTCTGCGGAAGACGAAAATTAGAACGTTCGAAAAGAAATCATAAAATTTCCTCTGCCACCAGACAATTAGACACAGTATCTTTATTCAATGACCAATATGTATAAAATGCGTAACGGCTACTGGTTATTTTAATTAAAATGATGAAAGAAATCATAAAAACATAGAAACAATAATCCACAAAGCATAAACATAAAACACAAAAAAGAGCGTTTGGCACTCTACAATTAATTAACGTAAAAATCAGTCAAATATTCTTTATTATTCAGCATGTTTCTCTTTTATATCAGTTGTTCTTCAAAGAATCCTTACTTCATTGAGCCAAAAACCTATACGTTCTATTTAGCAATATCAAAATTTCATTGGAATTTAATCTATTCAGATATTAATTTATTTTGTACTGTCAATCTAACCAAAACGTCCTATGGGAAAGTCAACTAACACCTGAAATGATTACTCATTATAGCCTTATATTTTTTTTTCTTTGGAAATCTAGCGAGTTTAAATTTATTTGAAATAAGAAAGTCTAGAACAGGAAATCAAATAAATTATCAGTAACAAAACATTAAAACAAAGCAAGTCATAAAAATAATGATTTCCAACAAGTTCCGAAAAAGACTAAGGACTTTCACGAATGATTTCGAAATCCAGGAAGCAAATTTAAGGTGACAATAAGTAAAGAAGGCTTCGAATTTCGCTATTAGAATGTAATGTATGTTGAGCAAAAATGAATTGAAATTAAGCCAGTCATAGTCATAAACTATAGTACCTAGTTTAACTTATAATTTCAATGATGAAACATGCAAATATTTTAACAGTAAAATTAATAATTACAAAAAACATACCATCAAGAATCAGGAATTAGAAAGCATTACCCGTTCTAGTATAAAGTAATAACAGTAATCATGATCCAATTGTTCAGAATCACATTTCTTTAATTCCGGTAACATTTCCAACTGACAATTTCTTTAAAATCACCATTTAACAAACACATAAACGAATGACTTTGGAACGTAGGAATTTAATTTAAGAAACAAATTGTTATAATTTTATACATACTCCTCTACTATATCCTTTAAACATTTTATTTTGCATAGGAAATGCTGAAACTGGATAAAGCTAACACACATCTACCAGAATATATGCCAGAAGTATTCATCACTGCATTTCAATAAAAGTGAATAGATATTTTAACGGTCAATTTAATCGCAAGAAGCTATACTTATTATATTTACAACTATAAACATCAATCAAAAAATGACAGAAAATTCAAGTAAAAGGCAAAGGGTACAAAAGATTCTAAAGAATTCTTTGCGACGAAAATTTGGATATTTCCCATTATAATAACAAATATCTTACCTTATTTTTAGTTAAAGTGCTTTCCACCTGAGGATTCAATCTGAAAGGAACATCTTCCACACCTCGTTTCACACCCGCTTTTAGTTAAAGCATTTTTTGTTGTAATACTAGTTATTCTTGTTCTGTCCAGCGCAGAAGTGGAATGCCAGGATTCAGTAGTCTCAATGGATGAATATAATAGAGTTGTGCTACAACTAGCATACTTAAAAGTAATGTTTTGACTTGAAACTTAGTAAGATATATTTTACTTAGAAGATTAACAGGAGTGTGTGCAAAAAAACAAAGAAAATTGCGTTTAATTCTGAACTAGATACTGACAGTCGAAGATAAAGTTACGGACTATTTAACAAAGCTATTTAAATAAATCAAGTATGCTTAGTTAACAGATATTTAAAATATGCAGTTGTTAATAAATACGATCTGATACGAGGTATTGTAGCACCTAATGATGATGGGACTACGATATGTTTGAAGCGCTTTCAAAACGTCATCTATTTCACTGAAGTTAAAAAATTAAAACATCGGGCTTCAATATGCTTCATGTGATACATATATTATATATTAAAAGCCAACAGAAACTACGAATGAAATGGAATTTTTCGATTAGACCAACAAATTAGAAAAATGAGAAATTTTAGACTCCTGTTCCAAACAGGTACTTCAGAAATTTTTTTTTTTTTTTTACGGAATCGTTGCATTTTAACATTATGTAGTCAGATTTTTTTGTCTGACAAGGATTTTTCTGAAGCAGTAATTTTTATTGAGAAATCTATGTTTCTCAAAAGCAAAATCTAATGTCACTTTGAAGTTTTCAGATGTTAATAACAAACTTGATGAAGGATTAAGTTTTAATTAAAACACAGCGAATATTTTATCAAAAGCACTCAGTTCAAACAATGAATAGAACATAATTAAAAAAATAATCTATGAATAAATTATTCTTGTTAATCAGACAATTTCTTTATGACAGCAACTTCAAACAGCACTTTCGAAATCAGAGAAATAGTAAATAACCGAAAATACAAACCCAGCAGATGAGTAATTCTTGGGTGGTTTCCTCATCTTAACAAAACTATTTCTCCAGTGACGTCAACAACAGAATCTTGAGTTACCATAAGCACATAGAGATATTTTCTAAAGCTTTTTTCTCTGCTTTACGAATAAAAAGTGAAGAAAGAAAAACAGTGCTTTATGCAACATTTTTAAAAACATATGAAAAAAGTATATCATTCACTGCTAACATACTTATGGAAAAATCAACCTTTACGCTAGTGCTTTGTCACAGGAAAACTGCTCCAGTTCAATTCAAAGATTCAAAAACGGAGTTTTCGTGAACATTATTTTGACAAAATACAAATAGCAATAATAAGCTAAGAACCATCTTAAGACTGAAGTATACTTCTCAAAGAATCGAAAAGAATTAAACCCGGTGATTCTGTATTAATAACTTACTTGAATCTGCTGTACAATCGATGGCGATAAAACCCATGGCAATTGGGCTGGTTATCCTTTACAACACACAAATCTGTCACTACATGTGTACTAATCTGGAAAAAAAGAGAAAAAAAAATTTATGATATATTAAATAAAAGCACGTATACTTCATGACAGAAATATGAAATCTTGAATTAAAGAACTGAAAAACTTCTATGACCAAATCAACTTCCAATGAAAGAATATAAATACCGAAATTTTTTTAAGAAACACCGCTGGAAATTGGTTTTAACTATTCCTAGCTACATTAGTTGGAATTCCAAAACCTTAAAAACATACTGTGTTTTGAGGAGCGTCTCTAGTGATTGCCAAATATCGTACAGGTGACTAAAAAAAATTGAATGAACTCCATAAGTCAGCATCACTTTGTTCGTTTTGTTCGTTTTTGTAATCTGTAATCCAGAATGAGCGAAAATAAAATAAAATGGATGTTTAAAACGATCAAAATAAAAAAATATATAAATAAAGCCTTACTATGTAGTAGAAATCACGACTTTTTTAAAATGTAGCTAATCCAGCTCTATGTCAATCTGTTAATCTCAACGGATGTGTTTAAATCATGGCTAATTTTGAGACAAATGAACACATAAATAGGCAATGAATATATGGTTCTAAGTATATCTTTCTTGATTGATTTAAATCAAATTTGAAAAACTGCAATTTAGACATCTTGGCAAATCCAGTGCTACAATCAAGAATCATTAGGAAAGTATGATGATAATAAGGGATGAACTTCATATTAGTGATAACCTGACATAAAGACATGAAATAAAACTCTTGCATTCAATTTAAAGATACATGAGTCATACCGGACTGAATCCAACGAGGACATCGATTTTTATCAGCAATAATAATTATAGAAGTAATCGGATTAACATTGTTTTCATCATCCATATCTGAAGAACGGATCATCAACACTTCGTTCATCCCAACAATCGTCCATTGCTTCATGAAATACAACATAAAAAACGAATGAAATTCAAGAATTCCATATTAAACTTATAACGAAATTAGCAAACTTATCAAAGATGAATATGGTACTTCAACAGTATCTCGATTTAATGTCATCCTATCAATGAATTTAATTAAATTAGCTACTAACATGTACGTCCCGTGATCCTACCAAACTAATTACAACACATTTCTACAATTCTCCATGAAACAATCACTTTAAACTGTACGCAACTATGTCGCGTACTGCAACTGACAGCATAGCCTGAGATGAAAATTTAATCCATGCTTGCTTTAGTATGAAAGAAATAATCGGATGAAAAAATTAGTGAATACTAAATTTGATAATTTCAACTTTGCGTCTATTATTTTCTTATTTGCTTGAATTGAAATTTTCTTTTAAAATTTTCTCTCAGTTCAAGGTGATCAACAAATGCATTCCAAACAAGAAATAATTATTATTTATTAGAACTGAGAAGTAATTATAGATATACTTTTCATATTAAGTACTAACTGATTATAAGCAATGAGTTACCGTGGTGACCGTATTGAATTACTACTGTGCTTTCTCAGCTTCTTTTATTATGCTTTCTTTTTTTTCTATTTTCCATCCTTAGCAATTATTATTATTCAAAAATTTTCCACTTATTTTGATTTTCTCTAATGTATTTTCGGAAAAATTTCTAATTCTCGCAGATATATGAGCGTATCCTTTTAAATTTTTCAAGCAGAAAAATAAAATTTTAAATTAGGATTATTCAGTTACGGACATTATTAATGATGGTTCTATTAACTTCTTAATATTAGCTATTATTGTTTACTTATAATAATTTCTTTATGTAATAGCAAGAAAGATTTCTTTTGACAATGTAAAAATTTTCAGGGAGCAATGATCACAGTTTAAATGATAACTTTTAAATGTTAGCTATATAAAAATTTTATGGGTTTGTCGGCATATGGCTATTTAATGTACACAAATTTCTTATCTTTTCAAATTTTCATCATTAGAATTGTCATTGAAGATAGCAAAATGCTTTACAAATCGAGCACCATTTAAAATTTTCTAATTATATTCAAATTTGAAAAGCAACGGTAATCTAGAAGTTTCCTTTTTTTCTGAGATTCTTTTCTGATATTCTTTTCGGCATTATTTTGATTTCTACATAAAACAAAAGTATGAAAATATTATCTTGAACCAAAAATCTTAAAGCTCAAAGTTCAAATGCTTGTTTTAGTTATTTAAATAATACGCTTATTTCAAATTATGATAATTTTAGTTAATAATCACTTAACTTACCTTTAAAATATTGGTTATAAATATTTGAACTTTGCTTATAATTTTGCTCTTATAAAACTCCTATAAAATTTCTCTTGAAATAATTTGGACAATCAGAAAAAAATACAATAAAAATATTTGCTATTAGAACAAAATATTTTGTATTTTTCAAAGGTAAATTAACTGCTTAGCATTTCCAATTCTTCCAATACTAACTTCTATAATTGATCTATAACAAAAGAAAAATTAAAATTTCCATTCTTTCTTCAGTCAATTATTAGTGTCGTGGAAGGTTTTGATTGTTTAATTAATAATATTGGGAGAGGTGTTTGATCGCAGGGATATTGTTTTGGATGTAAATGTAAATGTAAATGCGTGAAGTAACAGAAATATAATCCAAGTTCTTTATTAGCAGAAGTAATAAGACAATACGTTGATAGAAAACAATTGAAATTGGAATCGTCGGTTCTTGGCAATAAATCACACCTATAACAAAATCTTTAACAAGGGTGGTCCTTATATAGCAATTATCTTACATTACTTGAGTTAAAGTGTGGGAGTGGTTTATGATTAGTATACAAAGGATAAATTGTCTAGACATGATAGTAAGTAACTTTAACAATAGGTTTTACAATGGTTATCACAATGAATTCAATGTATATCACAAAAGAAAGTGTAATGGGTTATCTAGACATTATTATGGGTGGCTACCATAATGAGTTGCAATACATAATAGATGTTCATAGTATATGAAATGATATAAGATCAAAAGTCAGTTAAACCATTACGATGAATTGTAAAAGACATCAATGGATTACTATATTAAATATTGTTAACATTTATTTGGTACTTCGCGATGTTAAAATCTGTACAGTATAATTGAACAGAATGAAATGAAATGGTCGAAACAAAATAGAATAAAATATAATATAATATAAATAATAAGAATCTATAGAAAAAGATGATCAGATATTTGGTTTTTCTTGATTTCAGAGCATAAATTACAATAGAGAAATAAGAATGAAATCACCATAAAATAAAACATAATAGCCTGACATTGCAATGGTGTAATAACGGTCAACGGTATCGGTGATTTCTAAATAAACAATATAATTTAAAACGATTTATTCACGAGACTGTGAGATACCGCATTTATATAGAGAGTCAGCTGGCATACTTTCACTTCTCAACAGACATTCGGTTTTTCATGATTTCAGCTCATAAATTACAATATATACATAAGTAAGAAAAACTCATTAATGCAACTAAACGTTTTCAAATTCCAGTTATTACTATTGAAATAAGATAACTAGCGAATTCAAGTAATTATTAGTCCCACTTTGTTAAACTACCTCATCAAACTTAAAATAAATGTAAAAATTTCACTCATATATAACATGATCTTCTCAAAAAGCAAAAGTTAAAATTTGTAAACAACAAAAAATAAGAAATATACACCGATATTCAACTATACATTATTGATATTCATCCCTAAGCATCCATAAGTTTAAGTTTTTCAGCAATATACACAAACGCTTTAAAATGGATCGAAACGCAAACGAATCTTTAACTGATACATGATTCTGAAAAAAAAAAGCTCTCACGCGTGAAAACGCACTGAATTTACACAAAATTTTCAAAGTCTTAAAAAATTTTGGAAAAATATATGAATCTGATTTGATAGAAATGATATTTTCTTACCTTAAAACTCTGCAAAATTTCATCTGCCAACGCTTGTCCTTTCCTATGAACCATAAACAAACGAATATCTTCTGCCAATTTGTCATATTTACCCGCTTTTTTCACATCTGATGCCTTAGCTGGATTAAAAAATAAAGGATAGTGCTGAAAGTTTTCAATATTGCAAAAAAGAAAGGGAAAAAAATAAGCATGATCGAAACATTTGAAAGCAACCGATGAGGAACAAACAACCGATGAGGAACATTCTAAATGTTCCTTATCGGTTGTTTTTTAGATATGCAGCATACATTGTTTCCTCTGACGAATAGCATCCAGCAAACTTCCACCTATTATTTCCATTACTTTCGCTGAATATAAGAAAAACTGTGTCTCGAGTGAACAGTGAAGGGTCAATTAAAAGCAAAAAAATTTGCAACGAATCTATAGTGATTTTTCCACAGTCCATATTGCCGAATTCCACCACTTTGAATTTGGTAGGTAATGATCATCAAAATCTGACATGAAGAAATTGAACTAGACTATAGTTCGCAAAAAAAAAAATTATTCTTCAATGATGCTGCGCCACTAAAACTCGGTTTCTCTGTATCAGCGTGATCGTTTTCAATAACTGATTGAAATCCAGCAGCTTTCCGCAAACCGAATGAAATAACCCTGAAAATAAATGATAAATGATAAAATAAATCCCACTTTTTTAAAAATTTTTGGATGACATATTTAAGGAATGAAAACTTAAACTTCCCGAGCACCTTAGTGATACAGTAGCTTTTGCAGCGACAGCATTTGCTTCATCTTCAATTAGCTGCTCATCTATAATACCTGTTGCAAAAATCCGGTCACGTTGAAGAGCTGAGATAAACGCCGCATTTGTTAATAATTTTCCAAGTACATAATCGCCCTGAAATAGTCGCTTAGCTCCTTGAATATTAGTATCACAGTAGCACGCTCCTGGACCTGAGTATATAACCCAACTTTTTCAATCTTTCTCGCGGAACAGTAAAGAAAAATATAGCTAGCATTATGCGTTGAAAGCTCAAATATACTAAAATTTCTATGATAGATCGCCTGAAATCATATAGTATCTACGATAGTATTACCTGTCCAGAAAATTTTTTTGTTGCTTGTTTATAACGTCGTTTCTTTTGCAAATAAGGAATTTTAATATCTGAACTTTTATCATCCATTTCATTTCTTTGCTTGTCGCTTTTTTTTCTCTTGCAGCCTTTTTCTTTCTTCAACGCATTTACTATTTGACCTAAATTGCAAAAGAAACAATTGTCCAGCAAATAATGAAGAGGAAACTAATGATAGTTTAGGAAAAGAATTCATGAAATACAAACCTGCTAATTTTGCGAGCAAGTTCTCGTAATTCGCTAACTTTTTCAGCTGATAAATGCTCCTCGATAAAAGTTTTCGTATCGTCATCACCATCATCATCATCAAATGTTACCTTTGTGTTAAGTTTTTTCGTTGTTACACTTCTTTTTGTTTCTTCTCACGACTGGCAACATTTTTAACTTCATATATGCTCATTGATTGTTAAAAACTCTTGTAGCATTTACAGAATTTTCCTTAAATAACTATTGTCTTTTATACTCAATTTAAAAATACAAATTAACGAAAAAAAAAACTTCCTAAGCTTACTCCTTCCCATTTTTATCGAAGAAATTATGTCAAATAAAATTTCTTGTAGTGCCCCTTAAAATTGCTGTTGTTTTAGTGCCTTCCTTTTTGAGTACTTTGCTATCACCTATAATAATCTATTACTAACACAACGAATAGAAATATCATGTAGAAATAAATATGCATAAATTTTAGAAAACTTGAAGAGAAATCTGTCACAGAACAATTAAAATTCCTTAAGTAATTTATTGATGATAACAATATAAATTTATTAACAAAACAATCTAAATAGAATAATTCATGTAACTCATTGGTTTTGAAGAATCTTTGTTGTCTCGGATCAACCAATATACGACTTGACAGGAAAACTTCAAAAATTTGCCTAAAATGAAACTATGAGTAAAGTAGAACAAAGACAGAGATTTTGCATATATTTTGGATAAAGAAACTGAAGAAGGCAAAGAAATATGTCGAACCTATGATAAATTTATCTCTTCAATGGTGCTACCGGTTAACAATCTATATAGTAATAGCATGGCGTATTGGACAGAAATGTCCAATACGCCATGCTCGCTCCCGTGCCTTCAAATTTTTTCATTGGATTTTTTTTTAATTCTGATTATATGTATGAAAAAAATATGAACTGCATGTGAAACCATTGCATACCTGAATATCGGTAGAAGGATTCCAATCAGCATCAAAAATTACCACTCGATTAGCACCAGTAATGGTAAAAATAAAGATTTCATCTTTTGTAAAATAAACCTAGATTTTCTAGATCAATTTTCTTACAGCTAAAAACTCTAATAATGTCCTCTACATGGCCAATACCTTATTAAATTCTTCAATAAGTAATTACGGCTTCTAAACGTTGTTGTGCCATCCATTCGTAGATATCTGAGATAAAGAATTGTGCAGTAAAAATTTTGTTCATAAAATTAGTTTAAAAACTAATCACATAAACAAAAATGAAACAACCACCTTTCTTGAATCACAAATTCTTCCAAGATCGTTAACATTTGTCGACTTTGCAAAAATAACAGAACTTTTTGACTTTGCCGCTTCTACAATTTGAAGAGAGCCTTGAGTACCTGGAAAGAACTCCGAATTTCAAATAGTCAAGTATTCCAAAAAAAAAATCATGCGAAAGTGAAACTTTTGCCATTAATTACTGCATTTTGCCACTCCTACAGGGAGCTCCAAAGTCTATTTCCTCTTCGACAGTAACATCATAGTCATCTGTAGCAATGAGAAATTAGATGACAGTCGTATTACATGGTGCAATCTTATTAATGCTTTGATAAGAAGTATGTCGTAGCATATAACTAAAATAAGTCTACTCCCATTTTCTTATATCATTGATGTAAGTAAAGAGAAGCAAACAATAACTCCTACGCAATTTTGTAAAATATTTAAATTTGATTATTAAAACGAAATGCATACTAAATTTATTTGGTCCGCCAGTTACAAGATCTGGATGACCACACAATTTGCGTAATGCGATTAAACCAACGAATGCATCCATTTTACCAGATAAAATGTGGCCACACTCACGAGATGATAAATATTCTTCATAAAGTTTATGCTGACATGGTGTAATATTGCAAAAAAGCAATTTAAGGAAGAAAAGAAGCAAATGACTCAAAGAGTAGTACCTTGTTTTAAAATAATAATCTAAAACAGCGGTCAGAAATTAAATGAAATAAATAAAAAAGCACCAGTAAAATCAACCTATTCTGCTTTCGTGGGTAAATGAACAGACATTTCAACATCCTTTTTCAAGCGTCTTAAGAGATAAAGGTTGATCTCATTCTTGAAATCTAAATTGTAAAAATACATGAAATTTATCAGAAAATTTGAAAACACCATGATTCAAACGGATATGGAAAAGTTCAAAATAGAGTAAGAATGTCAACAAAGCTACTACTGCAGCAGAATCTTAACTTTTTTTCAGCAGTGAATCACTGCGCAGCAGTAATACATAACCTTTACAGAAAGAGATTAAATATGTGAGAAAGTAGCCTATTACCTTTCCTTTTGAAAGTTATGATGAGACAATCACTCCATAAAATTCCTACTTAGTGTACCGATACATTTCATCACATAAATTTGTTCAATAAAATCTTTCGATATCAATCTCTGGAATATCTTTATTAAGAATTAAGAACCTCAAAATGCACGCACATTTATAAGCGATACGCACTTGAACCTCAGTAGCATTTGTGTATCCTCCCTGAGATGATTGGAATTAAAAATTTATCCATGAATGATTTCAAAGCATCGAGATGACCGAGATGAAAAAATCGATCAATGACCTATAAATGAATACACAAATGATTAAATGATTATCAATGATCTATAAATGATTACATAAATGATTAAATGATTATAAGTGATTAAGATTTAATTGATGTAATTAAAGATTTATGATGCAATTAAAGATGATATTCCTTCAGTACTATTTTTTTAAATCCAAAATTATTTAAATTTCCATTTCTAAACGAAAAATAGTTTGTTTTTTACTACGGGTTCTATTTCAGACGATGTATTTCCATCATCTTCGCTTTGAGCAAATTCACTATCGGATGTAAAACCTTCCAACCAACTGCACTGTGATGTCTGCATGATAAATAAAAGTGCATGCAGTGTGTTCTTATGTTGGATTTCGTCACTTTATTAATCTCTGTGGTTTTTTATAGTATTCGAATAAATGGAACAAATCAGATCTCTTATGAGGCATTTATGTGTGCCATCCGATGGCTTGGCATTGAGGACATGGATGAAGACGAGTTAAAATGCATACTTGCAAATTTGATTGTGGAGGTGAGTTCAATCTTTTGCACTAATTTTGCTATTATGTCAATGCCTTGAAGATTTGGTTCTTATTTAGTGATCCCGTGATTTGAATTTTTTTATAAAAGACAGCAGCATATGGTTAATTGTTAGAAACTTTATACTTAGATTATAATTGAATTATACTCAGGTTATGATTCTGTTATACTCAGATTATAATTCTGTTATACTCAGATTATGATTCCGTTATACTCAGATTACAATTCTGTTATACTCAGATTAGAATTCTGTTATACTCAGATTATAATTCTGTTATACCCAGATTATAATTCCGTTATACTCAGATTATAATTCAGTTACACTCAGATTATAATTCTGTTATACTCAGATCATGATTCTGTTACACTCAGATTATAATGCAATTATACTCAGATTATAATTCAATTATACTCAGATTATAATTCTGTTATACATAGAATATAATTCTGTTATACTCAGATTATAATTCTGTTATACTTAGATTATAATTCAATTATACTCAGGTTATGATTCTGTTATACTCAGATTATGATTTCGTTATACTCAGATTATAATTCTGTTATACTCAGATTATAATTCTGTTATACCCAGATTATAATTTTGTTATACTCAGATTATAATTCAGTTATACTCAGATTATAATTCTGTTATACTCAGATTATAATTCAGTTATACTCAGATTAGAATTCTGTTATACGTAGAATATAATTCTGTTACACTCAGATTATAATTCTGTTATACTTAGATTATAATTCAATTATACTCTGATTATATTTCAGGTATACTAAGATTATAATTCAGTTATACATAGAATATAATTCTGTTATACTCAGATTATAATTCAGTTATACATAGAATATAATTCTGTAATACTCAGATTATAATTCAGTTACACTCAGATTATAATTCTGTTATACTCAGATTGTAATTCTGTTATACTTAGATTATAATTCTGTTATACACAGATCATGATTTTGTTATACTCAGATTATAATGCAATTTCACTCAGATTATAATTCTGTTATACATAGAATATAAATCTGTTATACTCAGATTATAATTCTGTTATACTTAGATTATAATTCAATTACACTCTGATAATAATTCTGTTATACATAGAATATAATTCTGTTATACCCAGATTATAATTCTGTTATACTCAGATTATAGTTCTGTTATACTCAGATTATAATTCGGTTATACTCAGATTATAATTCAGTTATACATAGAATATAATTCTGTTATACTCAGATTATAATTCTGTTATACTTAGATTATAATTCAATTATACTCAGATTATGATTCCGTTATACTCAGATTATAATTCTGTTATACTCAGATTATAATTCTGTTATACTCAGATTATAATTCTGTTATACTCAGATTATAATTCTGTTATACCCAGATTATAATTCTGTTATACTTAGATTATAATTCAATTATACTCAGATTATGATTCCGTTATACTCAGATTATAATTCTGTTATACTCAGATTATAATTCTGTTATACTCAGATCATGATTCTGTTACACTCAGATTATAATGCAATTATACTCAGATTATATTTCAATTATACTCAGATTATAATTCTATTATACATAGAATATCATTCTGTTATACTTAGATTATAATTCAATTATACTCAGATTATGATTCTGTTATACTCAGATTATGATTTCGTTATACTCAGATTATAATTCTGTTATACTCAGATTAGAATTCTGTTATACATAGAATATAATTCTGTTATACTCAGATTATAATTCTGTTATACTTAGATTATAATTCAATTATACTCAGATTATGATTCCGTTATACTCAGATTATAATTCTGTTATACTCAGATTATAATTCTGTTATACTCAGATTATAATTCTGTTATACTCAGATTATAATTCTGTTATACCCAGATTATAATTCTGTTATACTCAGATTATAATTCAGTTACACTCAGATTATAATTCTGTTATACTCAGATCATGAT